ACAGATATGGCAAAACTAAAAGCTGTGCAAAACAATCCCCTTTTTTCAAAGATTGAGGAGCAGGTGAATGAACTTGAATTTTGATCTGACCCTCATAATCCGAATCAATAACCCCAGGAACCACAAACAATTTACGCTTATGAGCCGATGATCTAGGAAGAAGAAGACCCACAGAAGCCGGAGGCAACGGTCCATAGAAATCCGTTGACCCTAAACAAACTACATGTGGATATCCCAATTCCAAATCCTCAGCTAATGGAAGATCAATTCCTGCTGAACCTTTTGTAGCTGGTGACCATATTTGATTCCTATCTCTCTCTGGTGGCTCCAACCCTTCGGACATTACTTCACTCTTTAGAGTAGGGAGAATGCCCTGATCCCCGCTTCCTAGTTTTTTCCTTCAGAATGAAGTCTGCACTGATTTGCCCAATGGTATCCTTTCTTACATTTCGGGCACACTGATTTAGGACGAACACCCTGTCCTAATAATCTCCTTTTTTGCTGACTCTGACCCCCTCCAGGAGCCCGACATTGCGCTTTAAAATGTCCAGGCTTCCCACAATTGAAACAAGTCCCTTTTTTAGCATTTCCTGCCTGCAGAGCCAGAGCTAAAGTTTCCATGTTAAAAGTCTGACTCCCCACCTTTCTACATGCGTTTATCAAATCTGAGATCTCTCGCTCTCCGCTCGCGATAAGCGGATTCAGGATCTTTTTACAGTCTGCGTTTGCCTGTTCTACTGCTAATTTCAAAAGCAATTCATTTCGGGCAAATTGATTGTCAATTTGCCTTTCAATAGCCAATTTCAATCTGCTAATGAAATTTTCATAGGGTTCATTGTTTCCTTGTTTGATGTTAGTAAAGGTCTTCTCACCACCTTCGCCATCTGGGAGAACCCCTATGGCTTGTAAAATTAACTGTGGGAGAAGAACGAATCCCTCTTCTGGCATTCCATCTCGCTGTCGTTCCACTGTTGTAAAATCACCAGCTCCATAAAGCTGATCTGCAGTAACATTTGCTGTTCCCCTCTGAACTGCCAGCTGTCTCCATTTCTGATCTAACACCAAAAATTGAGCTGGGGTTAGAATCATATTTAACAGAGCTTTCCAGTCAGCTGGAATCATTTTATTTCCATAACCGACTGCTTCTAGCAATGCCTGAGCAAATGGCGATCTAACTCCATATTCTTTTACTGCTTGCTTAATTTCCTTTAGAACACTGAGAGGCAGAGGCTTCCATACTCTCTGTGGATTTAAAGCAGCATCTACACCAATTTCTATTGGATTAAGTTGAATCTCCACTCCAAATTCTACCAAATCATCTCCTGATAATTCCCCTCTATTTGTTGCTTCCTGAATAGCTGCAGTAACTGCATCTACTTGAACTCTTAAAGGCAAACTCTTCTCTTCTGACAAAGTATTTTCAGTGCCTGACAGTCCTCTGGATTTATCTGGAGGTGCTGTCGGTGGCAATATACGTACCGCATGGTAAGGCGGCAAACCTTCTTCAGGGGGTGCTAGGAGCGGTTGTTCATGAGTAGCTAATGCATCCATAACTACCCTCCAGGTTAACAAAATTGAAGAAGGGGCACGAGGCTCCTCGTGCAAAAATTTCCCTATCTTTCTCCAGCACTCTACTTTAATACTACCTCCCTCTGGATAACATGGAATATGTTTCCAAACATACTGTAATAAGTCCTCAATTTCTTTCTTTCCTACTTCATGTCCTTTACTATGAACTCCAAACTTAAAACTATTCCCAGCGATCTCTCTCATTTCCCTAAAATGCTTTGTCTGAGCTTTCGAGAGATCTCCCCCCATACTCACGAAAAGAATCTGTCTCCGTCCAGCGAAGAAGATGAGGGCCCAGTCGACGTCCGCGACGATGAGTATAGGATGCGGGAAACGTATAGCTTTCAAGCTATCACGCCAAAACGTATAGCCTTCCAAACTATCACGTCGGGGTCACCACTTGTGGTGGACTGACATTTGAAATGAGACGCAGGGAAAACGTCTGAGCAGATGCCAGCCCTGAGTAGACCCAGGTACCAGCTTTTATTGAGAACAAAATGTATATACAGAAAACAAGTGACCTCAACAGGATGTTATTTCCACAGGATATATAGGATGAGAACAAACAGGATGAGAATATACATCTGCGGAAATTCCCATGGGAATGGCTCAGCTATTTACTATGACCTTTCACTGACATATCTGGTCCTCTAAGCTTCGCAGGTCCTAACAGGACAAAAACACCCATAGCAGGCGGAAATGCCCCCCCCACCAGAGGCATTTTTTAGTCCCTAGATCTATGCAAAGCTATACAAGGACCCACAGAATAAAATATATTACCACAGCCTTTTAGAGCAATTTCTCTAATGTTGGAAATCAGTTGTAGCCTGTTCAAAACACTTTGTCTCTCTTCCCTCACTAGTGATACAATTACAAGATCCCGGGGAGTCTCCCTGCTAAAGAGATACGTACGAGAAAGGAGAACAAGAAATCTCACAGGGTGGGATTGTTTTTCTCCACTAATGTATACAATCAGGCAGCTCTCTCACTTATACATTCATATAGATTTTTCTTTTGATAGAACAAGGGGTGTCATTTGCAACAGGGCAGTGAGTGAGAGGAAAAGAAAAGGAATGAATGACTCAAGGCACAATGCCTCCGTGTGAGAGAAAATGGCACTAAATGTAATGTTTCGTCAGAGAATTTAATCACAAAAACACTCAAGACTTTAAAAGACAATTTTTAAAATAAAAAATGGAATGTTCTGATTAATCAATATGCACTTTCCAATGACATTGTTTAAGGAGAGAGAGGAAAAATAGATGGTGATTTGAGTCCATAAAATACTGGGACATTTAATTGTTTGCCTAAAGCAAATGTAAAAATTGACTTAATTAGATTTCTCTGTAACAAAGTAATATCTACTGCACTGACGACAGGACCTGGCAAGAGAGAAATAGGCCAAAAAGCAAGCCTGGTATAAGGAATTGGAAATAATTAGAAGTGTCCACAGTAAGAGAATAAAATAAGTCAATATGCTGTTCACAATCATGTGATCAAAACCTCTCCCTTTTATTAAGATTTGTCAAACTTCCATTATGTCCTACATGCTGATAAGCTTAAGAGACTAAGAGTCAAAACTACTTGGAACTGGTAAAACTCTATTCATTTCTTCTTCTCTTCCAACTATCGGGTGTTACTTTGGGAATGAAGAAATGTAACCCTCATGGCTTCTGAAGCTGCTGGAAAATAGAAATTAAGTTAATGTTATGTTGTTTTTAAGTTTATTTCTGCACATCTTTCACTAATATGCTTTGGGGTTCCTTAAATTTTGAAAATGGTATTGGGAGATATTTTGATCATGCCTTTCCAAATAAAATACTTCAAGGCCAGACACTTCTCTAACAATTTACTCTCCTGTTGAGATTATCAAAAGATAGTGATGGAGATAGTGAACCTAGATTAGAGGTGTTGTTTTTAAGTCAGGGCATTAGAGGTAGTCCTCAATTTAAAACCACAATTGAACCTGGAATTATGGTAATAAATGATTGCAGTCATAAGTCAAGGCACTTACATGACCAGAAATAATTTTCCAGCCTTTTTCATGGCGGTTGTTAGATGAACCAATTTATTTGATTGGGACTGAGCAAAAAATATTGTGAATTGTAATCTTATGACTATGACCTATTGCAGTTAGTTGCAAAACTGATCTCCACAACATGCAGTCCAGTGGTGGGATTTATTTTTTTTTACTACTGGTTCTATGGGCGTGGCTTGGTGGGCGTGGCAGGGGAAGGATACTGTAAAATCTCCAGTCAGAAGTGGTATTTGCTGGTTCTCAGAACTACTCAAAATTTCTGCTACTGGTTCTTCAGAACTGGTCAGAACCTGCTAAATACCACCTCTGATGCAGTCACATGACAGTGGGGGGAGGTGGGTGGCAGACATAGCCATTAATGACAGCATCCTTTACAGGCCACAAAGCAATTCTATATATGATATAACTTTGAAATGACTGGTAGATAAGCGAAGACTACCTGTATCCTAAGATGTAAATTGGTAAAGAAGTAGTCTTAGTTTTAGAATCCATGGACAAGACAACCAAGACTGTTACAAACTGCATGTGGGATTCTAAAAACCATGTCAGAGAACTGAAATGCCACATAACTTTTCCAAAATTTACAGCTCCTATATTTATATAGGTGCCAAAATATGCAAGCACCTCAGTCAAAATATATAAACTAATCCTAATCCTAACCCAATCACGAAGGGAGATACAAGATTTGAGCAGAGCAGAATAAAGGGAAGGGAAGGGAAGAGAAAATCCCATGTTATTTCCATGTGAGTCTTCTTATTTCAACACACCGTTTTCTTACAGGGAAAAATTGTACTCTTCCGGAAATAGCTAAATTTTTAGCCTATGTTATGTTAGTTCCAAAAATGGACTCCTATTGTTTTTTCCTATTGATTTGATTTGGGATAGACTATCAGGGATTGAGAACTTGAAGCCTGCTTGAATCTCAGGTTCTGTGACACGATGTTTTCTTTCTCTTCTATCTGTACTCAAGCCATGTAAGCCAAAAGCAGATATTTAATTGTGGCAGTTTGAAACATCAAGGTTAGAAGCTAAGGATGTTGATATTGTCTGGTTAAAAGTATTGTGACAAATATAGCTCCAGGGGATTCTTCTAAACGTGCTGGATGGGTTACGGGAGCAGACTAAGGATTCAATCTCTGCTGGTTTAGTGTTCTCTGGCTGGTTCTGCTCATCAGGTATTAGTAAATTATACTATAGAGTTTACAGCACAGAGAATATATTCCGAGCCTTGTTAGAGCTATAATCTTTTTTTAATGCTTTATGTCAGGAAGCCCTGCTGCACTCTAACCACTCTTTAATAATAAGACAAAAGTGATATTTTAAGGTAACAGTTAATAAATAACGTGACTTATCCAATCACACCTTTCAGTAAAATATTATTATCTTTTGACAGATTCATTACAGTGGAGGCATCAGGAGCTGATGAAACCCTCTCTAATTCTACCACTAGTACATTTTCTGCAGTTGTCTTTCTTTTAATTTAATTCTCCTATTCTGAAAGCATACTGTCCATTGCAATTATCGAGTAAGCATTTAATCTAGCATAAGTAAAGCATTTTAATCTTTTCTTATGGAAAAACAATTAAATGGTCATAACACTGCTATGATGAGCATTCCTTTCATTTATTCCAAAGTTTTAGAAGTTTCTTATGCCACGTCCAAGTAAAACTAAACTACTTTATCAAAAACCATTAATTTTGGATTCCTGGATTTATAATTGACTGCTTTTTCCTATTGTTCAGAAATACACTGTATGTCTTCATAATAGGCTATGACTCACTAATGTACCATTTTATGACAATATTTAATTTTTGCACAGCTTTCAAAGCAATGATCTCTGTCCTCCAGATTCTAGATTTAATATTATTTTGCAGAATTTTATTTTTATAGAGTAGTATACAATGTAATAAACAGTCCCAAACTGGACTTAGATACAAGATAAAACAAGGTAAGATAGGTAATACAAGTTAAAAGGTAAATTTCAACCAGCTTAAGGTGAATTATTTCCATTGTCTTTTTGGTGGTGATCTTTTGCTACTTCCCAAGTGTAATGTATAGCCTTAGGACTCTCTGGAGATCTCCCATCCAATTTTGAACCAAGACCAACCCTGCTTAGTTCTGAAGTTCAAAAAAGGTTTGCCAGATATTGCCGCTTGCTCAGACAGAAGTTTAGAATTGTAATTTTCACACAATTTGCTACTTTACATCAAGCCAAGATCACATCCAAATGAATATACATGGTAATGTGTGCAAATTCTGCACTTGGTATTTGGAGACTGACATCTGACACTAGTACCATGATTGTACCAGATATGTTTGAGATGTGTATCTGGTGTCATGTTTTGTTATTTGCAACATCCAGGTCAGTTAAAGCAATTCTGTATTTCTCTCTACTCTGGTCAGGCAGAAATGGCTTTTTACAAAGTTACAAAATTTTGAGTGATAGCTTGTGTTGTATAGTGAAAAATAACATCTTCGCTTATTTTTGTGAACTGTCTGCTTTAGAATAATAGAATCATAGAATTCTGGAGTAGGGAGAGTTCATGACAATCATTTATTCCAACCCTCAGGAATATATTCTCCAAGTTCTTCAATCAAGTTCTTCTCTAAGCCATGAATTCCCTTTATTGAATGGGCACCTTATGTTTTCCTCTGTAACTGTAACACATTACGTTTCTTCCTGTGAAGGACATCTTGTTCCTCTCAACCCAACTTCCAATCTTTCCAGATTTTATTGAAATTTAATTCTGTCATCATGAGAGTTGGCCCAACCTCCCAATTTTGTGCCATTCACAATTTTGACAAGCAATACATAATTCTTGCTATTCAGGTTATGAATAAAAATGTTCCAATCACATTGGCCACTGTTCTCCATATTGATGTGGCATCATCAGTGCTTCAGAATTATTTTGTCTGTCTTACAAGTTAGATTCAACTAGCGAATATGGATTATATTCATTAATACATTGTTACTGGTTTTTTCTCTTATTCTTAATACATTGAAACACCTGGGATGTTCTCCAACACCTCCTGCTCTCTTTGCCTATTATTGAGCCAAAGGATGTAAAGAGCTTTTGATTTTATCACCACCACTCGACTACTCTTTGTCTACTATGGCTTTCATCACTGCAACCTATCCAGAATAGTTACAACCATTATACATGTTATACAACATAACCAGTTAGGTATCAAATCAGCTCTATGATCAGCTAGAATGAAACAATTATTTTTTTCTTGATCTCTCTGTTCATTTATGTTTTCTGGAACATGAATCTAAAATTATATAGAAGCCCTTCCCTGAACTCAGAAATTAGCTTGCTCTGAAGGAGAAGGGTGGTTAAAAAATATGAAAAATAAATAAATAAATACATAAATAAACAAATAAAGTAAATAAGATATATCTGCCAATCCAATTGAATTCTTGAGTGGATAAGTGTTTCCCCCCTAATTTTATTATTATTTTATTCCATTTAAACAATATCCAACTGGCATATAAATCAAGGTTCATTACAAGATTCACCTGAACTATTATTAATTCAATCCACATCTAATAAGAATAATCTCTCTTCAAATCTTATCAGTAACTTTTTTCCTGAAGAACAACTGATCATATGTTAAAACTCATTTTTTTCTATTGTTAAATTATTCTAAAAGCATCCAGTTTTAAGCAATGATTAACTTACCTGCCCCAAACAGGAATTTTATTTAACATTATATATGTGTGTGTGTGTGTGTGTGTGTGTGTGTGTGTGTGTGTATGTATGTATGTATGTATATGTATACAAAATGTATGTATGTAATAATTCTGGGGTATCTTTGTTTTTTGATATATCTTATTTCTTCAGGTACAAATTTTTCACATACCCAACACATTAAAAAGTTCCCTTTTTCTCAGGCAGAAAAAACATCTTGGATCAGTCTTAATAAGGTCACTTTATTTAGTACAGTACATTTCCTTTTCTTCCTCATTCCAAACAGTTGCAGGAAAGAACACCCCCTGAGTCATTCCAAATTATATTTGTGAGGATTATCAGGTCTAGTAATCGGTCTCTCTTTCTCTGTCACTCTATAAAAATATATTTAGTGCTTGCTGATTTGAGGTGGAGGAATGTGCATAAGGAAGCAACAACTATAAAAATGATGGCATTGAGAAAATAGAAAAGACAAGCTTCTGCACACTTGTAGTTTTTTCTGGTCTCTACCTCCCCATTTTAGATGGTTTCTGAGATAGAAAACAGTCTTGCTTGCTTAAGGGAAAAAAATTAACACAACCTTTATAAGCTATATTACATGCAAGCATAATTAGCAATAGAGTGCCAGAATATAACTGTTCAGAAATCAATCAGCAGGGGTTGGGGGAGATGAAAATAACACAAAATAGTACAAAAAGTGTGAGAGAGGAGACATAATTTATCTCTCAGATTGTTTCTTGTGAATAGCTTGCTCTATTCCAGCCTTAGTGTTGGCTGCTCCTCAATTACAGTATAATGTTTGGATGGTAAAGCCTAAATTCTCTGTAGCACAAATTAGTAATTTTTGGCATCAAATTATCACCTTGCTATGATGAAGAATCAAGTATTCCTGGGTGCCTGTCATACTTTAGGATGACATTTGCAGCACCCCACAACATATATACATATGTGTATGCCATCACAGAAGATTGTGCAATGGCACTTGGAACCTAGTGAAAGGATTTGAATCTCTACCTACTTACCAAAAGATGAAAATGTTGAAAATGGAATTTCTTGATCTTAGGTTATAGTCACCCATGAAGCTGATTTAGTGTTACTTGTACTATGTGCTCTTCTTGAATGTATGCATTGTATATGACAAGGGTGTCAAACTCGCGGCCCATGGGACTGATGATCACGTGCTGGCCCCACCCCATCCAGTTTAGTGAAGAAGAAAAATGTCCTGATACATCACATGACAATGCCATGACGGCACGAGTTTGACACCCCGAGTATATGATTATCAATTTTTCTACAGCTTTTTCCCATCAAGCATTGTGTAACATTTGAAGATGGTATGTGGCTTCCTCAACTCTGGTGAAGTCAGATAATTATGATTTTCTATTTATGAGTACTGTTATTCTATTCTTTTAAATTAAAAAAGGTATTTTGACATAAGATTTTTATTTAGCTTGGAAATAGCTTTAAGCCTGTCCAATTTTGCATTATCAGTTGGGTTTGAGAACTGTGTTGACTTATTTCTCTTCTGCATCAGTATGTTTGAAACAGCAGCAAAGGTTTTCAACTTCTTCTTGTGGTTCTGTACTTCTACAGTGCTTGTGGCTGAACATTTTTTTTTCAATTGGTGTTTCTTGCTTGTCTTCCTCCTGCTCTGAGGCTAAAGACAACCTCCTTCAGACCATGAAGAAATAAGGTCACAATGCCTTTCTCATCCTCTCCATGGTGTCATACTGAAAATCTGCCTTAGAAACATTTTCAGTGCCACAAAAGAATGATGGCATGGCAGCTTAACAGCTCTCTCTCATAGACGCCATTCGGATTTTTTTGGCTATGTGACCAGCAAATGCATATGGTACAATCAACAACAAAAATGGAATGGGGTTAAATTGTTGAAGAGTTTTTCTTGCTTGATTTTTTAATTGCGTTTTATGTGGAGTGGGCTTAAGATATTTTTGGCGGGAGAGGGGGGCAACCTGAAATGATGATCGGACAAGGCATTGATTAAATGATATTTTTAAACAGTTTTGTTGGACAGCTGGTAAGAATATTAATTCAGTCCTGATATTTGAATGATGTATTTTAGTGTCAGCTGGCTGTCAGGGCTCCAACAAATCCACCCCCATTCAAATCATAAGTCTTTAGCTGCATCTCTCAAAGTAAAAAAACACAGATTTATTTGGAGTGGCCATGTTGGCGTTAGCTGGGTGCAGCTGACACTAAAATGCATCATTCATTTCCCCCTTGACCCTGGTCTTCCTCCTACTCCCTGGACATATATTCTCCAATGGGACATGTTCATAGCCAAAAATAATCAATTGTGCTCTCCAGTAATATTGTTGCACACCAACAGCTTTGGGCATTTAAGGAATGCATTGCTTTCCCTCACTCCCTTTCTGCTGGCAACTAAAAAGACCAAAGAAGTATTTTTTAGTTGATAATATTCTTTTATGTCCTCGGTCTTTTGAGAACCACAGAAATGATGTGTTTGACTTCACACTGCTTTGAGACTGAAAGTATGAGAGGAAAAGATGAGGGATTTCCTATGAAAAATGGCTAGTTGGCAATTCATTTCCACTAGGGAATTGGGGACAATGGGTTTTTTGGTAGGAATGGGAGCAGTTTATTTCTCCTTTCAATTCAGTGAATGAAATGATTTGCTCTCCACTTCAACAGAAGCAAAACGTTCTCCTTTCAAGCAGAAACAATGACAACAATTTGAGATTTTTATCCATGCTCAACAAGGGTTTTCAGGTGACAGATAGGGATTTGGTTTCATTCCAGCTGTTTTTTGGTTTTGTTTCCACAAAGAAAAAGAGCTTAATTCAATTACCTATGATGTTTGTTTGTTTATTTTCCATGCCCTTTAAAAAAAAAAAATCTTCTCCATATGCAAGAACCCTATCAATCCTTGTGTGGCAGATCGTTTCCCACCATCGTGAACTCACCCTGCCTTCCTTTAGGTATGAAAGAAGCACGGATACTGGGGCGCTTCCTCCATTCTTTACAGTCTATCTGAGATATATCTGCCTCCCACGGCATAGTGGCGCCATGTTAAAAATTGTGACATGGATCATGGAGGAGGAGAATGCTGGAACTATGAAATTTGCCCTCGTTTGTAATGTTGGAACTCTTCACTGAAATTAGTGGAAATCATTTTTGGGTCATTATATCAATCACTGTGGTTTAATTTTATAATTTTGCTTACTTTTGTTTCTGTTTCTGATTGGTAATTTTATAAACAATCTTTACACTATTGTTAAGAGAGTGATTTATTTTTAATTTTATGCTTTTCTTTTTAATCAATTTATGCTTTTTTATATTTAATTGATTTATGCTTTCATTTTTAGTTTTAATTTGTCTATGTTTCTATTTCATGTTTTCATTTTGATCTGATTTGCTTTTGCTGTTGGGCAGACTCTACTATCCCTGTTATGCAATTCAAATTAAATTGATCTTACCTTGAATAGAATCTTAAACAGAATGTTAGCTTGTATTAATTACATTTAGGGTAGTAAAGATCCATTGGTTGGCCATGCTGTTCTCAAGTTGCCAACAGAAGTCTGTGAATTGCTCTGTGCATCTTAGTTGATTGTTGCATTGTTTAGTAAAATATAATTAATTAAAAACATCAAATTACATTTTGGGAACTCAGTAAAGAATCTTAATCTGGTTGATAATTAGACATGGGGATCAGGGGATCAATGAGCTGAACTTTAGTTTTAGTCATTCATTGCATTTGCAGTTTTAGGAGTGAGGTGTTCTCAGTACACATACATTTTATATACAGTCTCAACAATAAGAGACAAATTAGAAAAGTTGGCTAAAATGTTTGACTCACTGGGTTAACTAGAATCCAGAAACAAAATGTCCTCCCACAACAGAAGTCTCTTTAAAGCCTACAGAGCATGCTTTGTTTTATGTTTTACTTATTTTCATATCTAACAGCCTGCTATTGCTCTATCTTTC